CAGAAATGAACTCTGCCTGAGCAGCTGAGGCCAAGGCACAGTGTGAGCAGAGTGAGAATTAGCCTAGGTGAGGATGAGGATTGTTTCAAACAGGATTGTTCTCATGTTTGTGCAGTGCAAGGTTCTCTACATTCATTACCTTCCAATGCAGCAACCAGGAGGCATTAATAGCCCTATGTATGGCTAGAGAACCTGAGGCTCAGAGAGGCCATGCAACTTGTCCCAGTTATCGCTCAGCCTGTAAGTGGCATGCAAGTCCCCCAGTGTCACACCCTTGCGACAGGCTGCTACCTCACAGTGATTTGGTGGCTCAAAGTGTATCTGTGTGGTGACTTGGGAGGCAGGATGTGAAAGGAGTTTCCTTGACAAGGACAGGAATCGGCCCACCCTTGACAGAGTTCAGGGCACTGGGAGCACTAAGGAGTGAAACCTTGGTTCACAGTGGGGACATCACCTGTGTGTTCCCTGCTGTTCTATCACTTTCTGACTGTGCCTCTGCTCTCCCTGGACACTCTGGTTCCCAGCCTTGGCCCCGTGTTTGATCTCTCTGTGTAGCAATTAGGCTCCCCCTGCAGGAGACAGGCAGCATACTCAAGGGACCTTAATAAAGGAATTAATAGGCCTGGGTAGGACAACAACTAAGGAGTTGTGCGCTACTCAATTACTAGCCAGGCTGAGAAACCCCTCCTGCCCCTACACCTAAAGGAAATGGAATTACTGGAGTCCGGTACAAGCTGGGATGGTGGAGGAGGACTTGTCCCCCAGGAATTGGCCATGTGGCCCTCTGAATTTAGAAAGCATCAAAACCACCTGGAATGTATGATGTAGTAATTGCTAGAGCCTGAGGTGGGCCAAGAATTTGCATTTTAACAAGTACAGTGATGCGGATGATGCTGGTGCATGGGCTGGTACCCTGGGAGTCGCTGTCCAGAGGCTACGAACCACAGTGAGGAAGGAAGGCGCAAGTAATAAATAATCTGACCTATCTCTCCTTCCGACTTCCAATCCCCAGCTAGTTGTTTTCCACTGGCTGAACCCAGCCTGAGGCTCTCAGAGGGAAAGTAGTGGACTTAGAGTCCATGGAGGTCTCACCCCAGGGGCACGAACAGGGAAGACAATGAATCTGAGAGGTGGAGAGTGAACTATGAGAAACTCTCCCCACTCTTCCCCTGGCTGTCTTTGCACACAGTGTGCCAAGAACCCATTCTGATTCAACTATTTTCTGCCCTGTAGCTTCTCCGAGTTTAGTTTTTGAATGCTGCAATGCATAACTCTTTGCTCAGAGGCTTAAAGGAAATTATGATTCTCTCAACTCAATTTAATAAATAAGCTATCCTGTCTTAATGCCCTACAGTAATATTGTGCATTTCTGGTGTTGAGAAGAGTTGAGATTCACATCCAGAAAAAAAGCTAACCATTCCTCACTCTTCTATTTCCAGCCCTTTCCAGCTGTTTTCAGAAGGCTTGTTTCCTGATTAATACATGCCATTTTGTCTTAGTACTTGAGTTTTTGTTCTTTTTTTCCACCTAACAAATGATGAAAAATGATGAAATAGTATTTCTTAAACTAAGAGTTTCTTTTCTTATATTCCCTGCTTTCCACTTTGAGATGTATGTACATATTTTTTTATCAGGGAGCCTGAAGCTCTGAGGAGTCAGTGTAAAATTTTCAGGAGGTAATAAATTAAATTCCATGTCTATGAATGAAGACATAAACCATTATTAGCAGTTCTTCAAAAACTCTCTGAGTCTCCAGAGGCTATCCCTGAGATGAGATCATTTGCAATAGCAGCTTCCAGAATTCAAATGGATTGTTAAGAAGAAATCTCTAGTTGGCAGGAGCTGCAGGTCAGGAGCTGGGGAGAGATGAAATGTGTTCAAGTGTGATTTAAAGGAAGTCTGTCTTTGGAAGCTTCTACCTACCTACTTTGGAAATCCTTTTGCCCCTTTTCTTCACCTAATGCCTATGCTACCTTCAGCTACCCTGGGAGGAAGGGGGACTACTCTGTCTTCCTCATTGAGTAATCTGCTCTGAATCTACAAAGGCCAATGCCTTATCTTCTGTGCTAACTCTCTCCCACTGATGGTGGCCACCTGTAGTTTAGTTTTGAGAGATTGCAGGACCTTTATCTAGCCAGCAGACAAACAGTCCCATGAGTAATTAGCTCTAGCTAATTTCTACCCCTTTTTCCAAGAGCTGCCAAAGACAAGAGAGGGGAGTACATAGAATGTGCTGCCTGAGGTAGTTGGCATAGGACAAGCGACCAGTGACCAGCCCCCATTCCCTCCTGGGATTTGTACCTTCATTTAGTCCCTTCTCACTTAAGGTGCTTCTGTCTTAAAGAAGCAAGTGGCCTGCCTGCCTCGCAAGCACAAGGTCCCAAGTTTGATCCTTGGTACTGAGGAAAAAAAAAAGAAAGAGCAAGGTGCCATGCTGTAAGCACCAAATTCTCAGCCCCTAATACATGCCATTTTGTCTTTGTACTTGAGTTTTTGTTCTTTTTCTTTCCACCTAACAAACGATGAAAAATGATGAAATAGTATTTCTTACTAAGAGTCTATGAAGTCCAGTTCTCCAAGATTTTGCTTTCAAAAGACTTCAGTAACATTTCTCAGAACTCAAGGTCCCCCAAGACAGCCGAGCCTGGCCAAAGATATCCTTCCAAGTAGTGAGAAAAAAACATCAGGATTCAAGGCACCTCTTAGTTTCTCTTTATCTTTCACTCCATGCTCATTTTCCCCTGTGACCCCTTTACCATCTATACATATGCTCCTGCTCCCTTACCCCAGTGTCAGCACTTCGTGAAAAGGCAGCTATCTGCAAGCTATAAAGAAAGCCCTCACTGGAAACCTGTTTTGCTCCTCATTGATCTTGGACTTCCCACCCACCCTCCAGAACAGAAAGAAATAAACATCTGCTATTTAAGGCGCCTCATCTATGATATTTTGCTATGGTGGCCCCAGCTCACCAATGTCCACCCCTTTTTCCAAGAGCACAGGATAACAGCTTATCTTTAATTGAGTACTCCCTTCCTGTCAGGCTCTGTGTTTAGCCTGTGTATTGTGTCTTTGTAGCACCACTCTGAGACAGTGCCTACCACAGGCCCACAATCACACATCCACAAGGCCAGAACTTTTAGAAGAGAGCAAACAGCTTAGTTCTTTTTTCTAGAAAATTTTGATCTGAACTAATTTAAGACTATCTGTGTACTTATTCCACATAAGTGTACCAAATCACTGCAAAAACATTAATGTCTGACAATCAAGGTCTGACTCAGGTCCTGGTAGGAGAGTTAGATAATACATACTATACAGTACTCCATGATTCTAAAATAGGAAAACTTCTAAGTTCCAAATCCATGTCCCCAGGAGTTTTAGAGGGGGACTGTATTCTGCTATTGTTATTCACATTGGACACATAAGGAAACAGGCTTATAGAGGGTGCCTAACTTTTCAAGGGACCTGGTAAAGCTAGGAAACAAACACAAGGAGTGAGACCCCATGCTAGCTCTTGGACAAAAAGCGGCCACTCTAGCTTACTTTTATTTTTTAAAACTTTACCTCTTCCAGGCCCAAATGTACATCTTCAGTAATGAGAATGTGAATTGGCCCAGCATAAGTCAGAGATTCAGATCTGTCTAATCTAAAATAGTGAGTGGGTAAAGAGCAGCGCTGTGTGATGCTAATGAGGCTTCCAGGTCCTTCCCAGAGTGGAGGTAAAAGAGGGTGTGGGCTGGGCAGGCAACCACAGAAAATGTCATTGCCTTGTAGTTTCAGAAACAAACAAAACCAGAGCAAAAAAAAAAACAGAGTATCTTTGCTGGACGATACATCTTAATGGTATAGCATGGGCTTTGCCTGCACAAAGCTCTGAGATCAATCCCCAGCACCACAAAAAATAATAATAATAATAACAATAAAGTTTTAGGGGCCGGGGATTTAGCTCAGTGGCACTGCACCTGCCTTGCAAGTGCAAGGTCCTAAGTTTGATCTCCAGTAACAAAACAAAAACCTGAATATCTTCAAAGCCATACAAATGTTAATGACGAATGAAGGATATTCTCTGAATACTCAGAGTGCCATCTTCCCTCATGAAATTAAAGAAAAACCAAGAACCTCTTATTTTGACCCGGTAAAGAAAGCACTTCCAGTGGAGCCTCTGTGGCTCATCTATTTTCTTAAAGTCCTCTTCCTTTGGGACTGTAGACAGTATCTTCACCATTCTGGCCCAAATTTGGGGCACCTCCTGGGCCTAACTGCCCTCCGAACAGCTAGTGCACCTTTGGATACTAAGAAGACAATGCCAAGAAGGACCGAAATAGAAATGAGCAAAGAATAAAGAAGCATGAAAAGATGCCTACCTTATAGGACTGGTATAGTCAGGGTTTTTCGTTTTCAGAACTCACAGTTCTGTCCCAGTTCACACGATGTCTGCAAAAGCTACACGATGGTCACCGCAAGGCTAGGACATGGTCCCAGGCTGCTGCCATAGAAAGTGTTCTTTCATTCATCCACTGTAGGAACAAATATACTTCATTAAGCATCTATGATGAATTAGGTATTACAAGGTCCTAGGCACGTAATAGAAATAAATCAGATTAAATCATTGTCTTCCTAGTGTTTATGTTCTAGCGAAACAAATAAATGCAGAAACAAGATAATTGTAGTGAGGAAAGAAATCCTAACAGTGATGGCGGCAACATTAAAGAGTGGACCAGAGATTTAGCTCAGTGGTTCCGCTGCCTACCTCTCAAGCACAAGGTCCCAAGTTCAATCCCTAGTACCAAAACAAACAAACAAATAAATAGGGGGTAGTCATAGAAGATTATTCAATGGCAGTTGAACTTAGAAGAACGTTATTTTAATTTGCCTTGAGAAATAAAAACCTGGCATGTAACTGTCACAGGAATCAGTGGCCTAGAGGAAGGAAGGGATGAGAACATTTCAGGAACAGAAGGAGGCCAGTAGAGCTGCAGAAGAATGATCAAAGGAAGGAACAGTATGAGAGAAATTTGGAGAAGCTAGCCACACATGAAGTAGCCTGAAGGTGAAATGTATCAGTTTTTCACAGCTGTGTAACAAACCAACTGTATAGTTAAGAGTTCTCTAGAGAAACAGAATTTATTTCTAAAATGTATAACTATTCAAGGGGATTTACTAGGCTTACAGGATCAGAGACAGGAGAATAAAATGGTAAGAGAGCCATGCTGGAGAGCCAGAAGACTCAGTAGCTGTTTAGCCCAAGAAGATGGAAGTGACAAAACAAAAGGGATCAAGAACGAAGCACCAGGCCAAAGGTAAAAGCTTAGAAGCTTCCTGGTGAGTCACTGGTAGGAGTCTGTATCGAAAGGCTGAATAAACGGGAGTCTGATGTCCACAGCAGCAGCAAAAGATGCACCTATTCAAGCAGAATGGAGCTTCCAAAAAACACGCTAACCTCTTTCTTCTTTCCCTTTTATTCTATACAGGCTACAAGCCTATTGGATGGTTCTACCTACAAACAGAGAATCTTTTATCAGTTTGCTGTCCTATATGCCAGTCATCTCTGGAAATACTTCATAAGCATAGCCAGAGTGCATTCTATTAATCTCACAGGATAACTCCTTGGCTGTCAGTCAAGGAGGACATTCCCTCTTACCCCACAGGGTAGACAAGAGACCCTACAAAGCCAGTCCCAGTCTCCTATTTCCCCCATGGGTACTGATTGGCTCAGGGACAGCATGTGACCCAAGCTGGCCTGCTCACAGTCATTTTGGGAGGACGCTAGGGGTAAAAAAGGAGCCCTCAAATTAAGAGATCATGAGCTGTGAGGATCATATTAGCCTAAAGCTGCTATAATCATCCTCCTATTAGGGAGAGAGGATCTGCTTGGAAAAAGAATGGAAGCATTTTAAGCCACAGGGTCAAATAATGATTTGTGTCAGGTAGACACACAAAAAAAATTAGAAACACTAAAAGAAGTTCTACTTTTTTCTAAAATTTTATTTTCCGTTTTCCCTTGTGAAATGGTGTTAACCTAAGTCTCATTCTAAGCTTAAACAGAGAAAATTACTTTTTCCCCTAAACGCAAATTCAACTGCTTTCAAATTCAGTGATTTCCTTTTATAGCGTTCTAGAACCTCACCCAAAAGCTGCCCTTACAGTACAGATCTCTGCACTTCAGCCCTTTAAGTATGTGCTTTGGGAATTTCTGCAAATACTTGCCTTGGATGGGATCCAGGCAGACTTCTAGGGAGACCTATTGTGTACAGAAGGTATCTGTACGACCTGTCAGTACATATGCTTACTCAGCAATGACAGAGGTCAGCAAAGTCAAGAAAAACCTAGAGCCATGACCTCCAGACCAGGCACTAGGTGAAAATCAGACCACCTTGTATACAACCAGATGCTTTTGCAGTTTCCTGTGCCTGTAGGTATCGATATGGTATTATTTCTATAACTGGGACTCTCTGTCGCCAGTAACAAAAACCTAAGTCAAACTAGTTCAAGCACAAAGGAAATTTTGTTGTCTCTGTAAATGAACATGTTAGGGGGATGCTCAGGCATGACTGGGTCAGCTGAGCAAGAATCTCTTTGCACCTTAGAAGCTCCTGTGTTCCTTTTTCCTAAGGTCACCATATTACAATCCTGCTCAAAAGTCTCTGGCAAGCACAAGCCCAGTATTTGGTCAGAGCTCACTTGGAGACTGTGTCTATTCAGAAAGTCATTCTTCAAGCAAGAGGCAAAGCACAAGAGGACATGGGTGGCGGCATACCACGGATGGGAGCATCTGCCCCACAGAAAGGAGAACTTCATCCCTGACATTATACAGAATTGCCTGCACTGATGATGATGGACAGCAGACTTTCAGTTTCATTAGTTTTAAGTTATCTGTGGACAATGCTCTCTTAAACTCCACTCCCACAGCCCTGCCTTTGGTATACACTGCATGTTGGAGTCCCCCTCTCCCTCAGTATACTTTCTCCAAGACTTATCAATAACCACAGTGTGTTCGTTACTTTTCTCTCATTGCTGACAGAAAATGCCAGATACCCAAAGTTAGAGAGGAAGGGGTTTATTTGGCTTACAGTTTGTAGAGGTTTCAGTCCATAATCAGCTGGCTCTGAAGCTAGGATGGTACATAAGCATCGCAGCACAGAGACAACATGGTGCACACAAGGCAACAAAGATAACAAGAGAGTTAGCAGTGTCTTCCTGCCCTTTTTATCTTACACAGATTACTTAGGGCACCCTTAATCCTAGTGCCCTTGAGCCTAGCACTGCGTCATGAATCAATTCCAGCTTCACACGCTCTAGATCAAGCCTGTGACCACATGAGGCTTTGGGGGACATCTAGACCCAAACCATAACACAGTTTCACATATTCATCTTGTCAAGGGCTTCCAAGTCCTCTCTCCCTTAGTGAGATTATCCAGCTTCCCAGAGAACATCCCACTTGGTCTGTCTTAGTCATTTTCTCATCACTGGGACACAGAAAAAGAGAGGCTTATTTCGGCTCACATTTTAGAAGTTTCAATCCTTGCACGGTTGGTGGCATTGGTAGAAAGATCTGGCAAAGGAAAGCTGCTCACCTTATGAGTACTCAGGCACTCAGGTACATCAGTACTCAGGAAGTACTCATGGTACTCAGGAAGCAGAGAGTGAAGGGAAGAGCCCCAAAGGGACATATAACCTCCTACCTAATGCCCCTAACTGTTCAGACCAGACCCCACCTCCAAAAAGCAATATTCCCCCATAATCAAATCACCTTCCAAACACACCAGGTTTTTGGGGCCACGTTATACCTAAAGCATAACAATGTCCAGTGGTAAACTCCACGTTGGATTCTCCCCGTAATTCTGATCTCAGAAGATGCATCTACATAACAAGCTTGATCTTTAAGGGAAGGCAGCAAGAGCCTCCCTCAAAGCTTTCCTGGAGGCCTCTTAGGATAAGGTTCTGTGCTACACATTTGTGTTGGGCTGAAGGAACGTGACCTGGCATTGACATCAGTTATTTATTCATGAATCTTCTCCATAACTGTCAAAGGCAGAGACTAAACTTTCCCCCTGCCATTTCTCTGAAAAGAAAGGGTACAAAACACTGGTCATGTTCTTTGCTTCTTGCCCACTGAATCCATCTGGATTCCTGCTTTCCTGCCATTATGTGGTCCCATGACTGGAGAAGTCATTAAAGAATGTCTCAGAGGTCCTTCAGAGGTCCTGAGGCTCATTTTAAACAGTAGAGAGGCAGGCTTTGGGTTAGGGGAGCACCACAGAGTTCAGTTATCTGAAATTTATCTTCAACTCTAGACACCAAAGGGGTTATTTGGACTTGACTCTACAATACCCTAACCTCCAACCCCAAATTTTGACAAGGCTAGCCTATGCACAATATTACAATATTTGCTAAAGGCTTGGGTTTGTATTTCAGTGGTAAAGTACTTGCCTAGCATGTACAAGATCCTGGGTTCAATCCCCAGAACAACAATGAAAGAGGCCAATTCCCAAAATTTTTTTCACATTTGCACACTCACCTATTCTTTCAACCAATGACACTCTGAAGGTTGGGAGAGTTACTGCCCCACTTTAGAGAAGAAAGTAAAGCTTAATGAAATGTATAAGATTTGGCTGAGATACTATAGCTGGTGAAAGGGAGAGCCAAGTCTCGAACTTAGATCTTTGTTCTCCAAGACTTCATGCCATTATCATTAGCAGGGACAGGTGAAGACCCTGAGCAGTGCTACCTCCTCCACAGATGTGTTCCCCACTGGTCTGTCCAAATGACTACCCCTGGAGAGTCATGGCCATGCAGAACAAAAAGTTGTTATTATACATTGGCTAGGATAATTTCCTTTATCACATCACCTCCTGAGAGGTTGTTGGGAACACAAGGAAGATGCAGCAGCCAGTTCTTGCATGGAAAAGGGAGTTAGCCACGAGGGTCCAATGGGCACTGAGCATTTTTGGGCAGGGTGATTCCTAGAGTAGAGCCAGGACAGCAAAAGAACAGTGAGATTGCTTTCTGATTGTGTTTCTACCTTAGTTTCTATCTTCAAAGAGTAAGGATTTAAATGTCCACATACCTCTTCTCCTTTGCATTTACCCACCTGCAATCCCAAGGCAAGGCATGAGGAAGGACAAAAAAGATCATATATGAAACTGTCACACTGGTATTGTTCTCTAAAACTGCCTACCTGTCTGACTCTGTCATGCTCTTGGAGAGTCACCATCTCTAACCATGTTTTTCAACAGGATTCCCTGAGCATCCATGCTGGCTTCACGGACCATACTCTCTGGGCCCTCACTGACTTCCTACCTCCAGCTTCCTAGTTAATGGCCAGCTTGTATCTCTTTCTAGAACAACAAACTCAATGGTCAACTTGACCCTAAATTAGTTTCTTTACCTAGCAGCCAGTGACTCTTGGAAGCAATCAGTGAGTGGAACCCTTGCACATTTTTATTTATAGGTAGAAACTTTTCTGGGAAGCAGAACCTTCTTTGGACTCCTTTAACTATCCACAAAATGACCCACT